TTACATAATTATGGATATAATTATAAATAATACAAAGTTTATTTAAAGAAAAAATATAAAGCTTTACAATAGGATGTAAATTATTTTGTTTAAAAAATTAGAACACAACATGTATTAAAAAACAAATACATACTATGTACTACTTACAAATATCTAACATTTGATTTAGCTTAGATGACTACAACTTTAAATTTTTGGGTTTGAGGAGCTAGGTTTGAATCCCTCTGCCCACATCTTAAATTTTTGTTTCCGAGTTTGAAGATATTGATATTCGGCCGAATTTATATATGTGGTCGATTTCAGATATGTAATCAGATTCAGATATATCCGAAATTATGAATTATTGTCAGTTACGGATTCGAATATAGAAATGTAAATATCCGTCGGATACGGATTTGGATAGCTCAAAACATAATTGGATTCGGATTCAGACATGCTATATCCATCGCGGATATTATCCGTTTACAGCCGTACTTACATTTTTCGATTATATTTCAAAATGGGTTGAAGCTTTGCGTACCAAGTTTGACAATGCTAAAATAGTAGCTATGTCCAGTCTCTAATCATAAATAGGTATGGGGTACCTAAATTTTTCATCAATGATAGGGGGCACCCTTTTGTAATAAAACCTTGGAGATACTGTTTTCTTATTATCATATAACCCAAAGAATTTCCACATTTTATCACCCACAAACTAATGGTCAAGCTGAAATCTCTAATCTTGAAATTAAGTACATTTTGAAAAAATAGTCAGACCTAATAGGAAATATTAGAGTTTAAGGTTAGAAAAAGCCTTGTGGGCTTATAGAACAGCTTATAAAACGTCAATAGATATGTCACCGTATAGGTTAGTTTTTGGAAAAGCATGTCATTTGCCATTTGAAATTCAAAATAGATCTTAATAGGCTGTTAATAGGGATGTTAATTTAGACTGATGCAGCTGGTAAAGAATGGGAATTGTATAATTTTGAGTTAGAAAAAATTACGTTTGAGGCTTATGATAATTCAGTAATTTATAAGGGCAAGGCTAAAGCCTTTCATGAAACTAAACTCACCAGGAAGCACTTTGAGATATGTGATAAAGTATTATTATACAATTCTAAGGGTTTTTTATTTAGAGCTTGAACTCTTAACTTCCAGTTTCTTCCAGTTCCTTCCAGTTCTTTCAGTTTTTTCCAGTTCCTTCCAGTTTTTTCCAGTTTCTTCCAGTTTTTTCTAGTTTCTTCTAATTTCTTCCAACTATATTTATTTTCTTCAAATTATTTCTACTTTCTGACAAATCACTCTAAAAAAATATTATTATTATTATTACAACTTTTTTTAATTACAACTTTTATGTTCATATCTATAGTTTATAAATTATTTCATTTTTTCATCTCACTATTTTTATGATTCACATTAATTCTTCTAGTTTCTTCAACTTTTTAATATGAACAATACCGTTTTTTTGTATATTAATATACATGAAAAATTAGGAAATTATTTAAAAAATTATGGATAAATAGTTATATAGAATATTTTTTAATCTAAATTTATATAAGGTAAATTACATTTAAGGGCCTGGAAGAATAATATTATGAAAACCAAGAGAAAACTACATTTTGAAAAATAAAAAATGACCCAAGAAGTGTAATATTTATGCTAATTTTATATTCTAATTATTTTTTTAAACTAGCTTTTTATATATGAAAAATAATACTCGTAATATTTTTTTATCTTAAAGACAATCATTAAGATAACGTGATAGCACCACCACTAACAACAACAACAACAAGAATAATAATAATAATAATAATAATAATAATAATAATAATAATAATAATAATAATAATAATAATAATAATAATAATAATAATTTATAACAACAAGAATAAGAATGAGAATAATATAAAATCACATATAATTTTTTTAAAAAAGTTTTTTAAGATTTTACAATTTTTTCCAGTTTTTCCAGTTTCTTTAATTTTTTTTCAGTTTTTCAAATTTTTTCCAGTTTTTCCAATTTCTTCCAGTTCCTTCCAGTTTCTTCTAGTTCTTTCTAGTTCTTCCAGTTTCTTCCAGTTCATTCCAGTTCATTCCAGTTTCTTCCAATTTCTTCCAACATCCAGCTCTTTTTTTTCTGTCCTAAAAAACAGACCCTAAATTGTATCTCTTTCGAGGAAAGTTTTGGTATAAATGGCTTGTTGGTCCCTTTTAAGTGTCAGAAACCTCCCCTCATGAGGCTGTTGTCATCAAAGATTTCACCGCTAGTAGGATATTTAAGGCCAATGGACATAGACTGAAGATATATATCATGAAGGTGAACATGTTATTAAGCTAGAGGAAATGCATGTTCCTCGAGGAACCATGAAGCTCTAGTAAGGCACTGTAAATTAAAGTTCGGCCAGGACACTAAACAAATTCCAGTCAACAAACCAGAGGGACTACGTCATGCGTGCACCAGTTTCTATCTACTTCGTTTGATCAGTACTCCATGATGAGTTATGCTAGGGGTACAACCGCCAATATTTACCATACATTTATGATTAACTTATTAAATTTTTTTTATCAACACCTAGAATGTGTGGTGGAAAAGCCTTGGGGCACATTTAGAGTACACTTTTTGGTGTACTCCCAGCATTTTTGTTATTCCATAGGCGATCGATTTGATGATGACGAATTGTCGATATATTCCCTAAAGTTTACTTTATGTGTATATACTCTCTTCGTCTCTAAAGCATTTACCCTTTATGCAAAACGAAATAAAATATCAATTTTTATCATTTCATTTTATTTAAAGATTGACATATAAACAAAAAATAAAATTTACATATTTAAAAAGTACATCAAAATTTCTACAAAACAAGATGTGACAAAAATATTTTATTTTCTTAAGTAGTCGAAGTCACACAAATAAATAAAAGTTCCCGTGATTTTTGAATAGTAAAGTGTTTAAATCATTTAAGAACGGAGGAAGTATATAATATTGAGGGGTGGGGGTTGGGTAAGATTTATGGGTAAACTTAGGAAACCTTTAGACTTAGGTTATATATTATTGTATTATTAAATAGTTTTTTTTATTTATTCTACTATAATGTCTATTTTGTTAATAAGTTTTTATACATAATTTTAAACTAGACAACTAATATGCATGTCGTTTGTCATCATTTCACGAAGGCTGCCCAACCACACCAAAATTGATATATTAATTTGAGTACATGACATAGTTGTGTTTTTATTTTTTTACTTTATTATCTTTTCTATTTTGGAGCGGTCAAGTCACTGAGTTTCGTAACTCGGTTCCACGCACGAAATATGTCATTACTCAACCAAAGTCTGTCAAAGAACGCAAAATTCAATCGAAAAGCTATTTTTTCAAACATGCCCTTCACTCTCTCCGGAGTAGTTTCAACTTCTTGTGTTATCACACCTAAAGAGTATATGGTAGAGAACAGAGTATGTGGCAATGTGTGTTGTTGAATAGTTTGGGTTTTTTGTATTATCACACCTAAACAATATCTAATATTTACTCCGTACTACGCAGTAATATATGATTATTCTATCCCCTCTTAAGACCTGTTCTTTAGGACCGGAAAAAAAGAGTTGTATGTTGGAAAAAACTGGAAAAAATTGGAAGAAACTGAAAAAACTGGAAAAAATTGGAAGAAACTGAAAAAACTGGAAAAAATTGGAAGGAACTGGAAGAACTAGAAGAAACTGGAAAACCTTAAAAAAATTAGAAAACCTAAAAAAACTTTAAAAAAATTTATTTTAAATTCTTGTTGTTATAAATTATTATTATTATTATTATTATTATTATATTATACTATATTATATTATTATTATTATATTATACTATATTATATTATTATTATTATTATCATCATCACGTTATCTTAATGAATGCCTTTACGATACAAAAAAGGTATTGTTATTTTTTAAATACAAAAAACTACTTCTGTAAAAAAATAATTATAATATAAAGTTAGCATAAAAATATTAAATTTTAAAAATTCTTTGTGGTTATATTGCACCTCAATTTATTTATGTAGTACTTATTATAAATAATATATTTGTAATTATACTTTATATATTACAAGATTTTGTTTTAAATATCAGACATATCACATAATGTAATCAAACCTATTTTTTTCATGATTGACATTTTATTTTCATTGAAGTCCTATTTTTGTAATAAAGGCATAGAACTTTTTTTTCGTTTTTTATGTTTTACTCTTATTTTAACCTTTTTTCTAAACTATTTTGACTTAAATTTTTTTAATAAAAAATAGAAAAATTAACAAATTTTAAGTAATAAAGGGAAAGGTGAGAGGTCTTATATAAAGTTAGATTAATAAAACATTCAATGTCATTATTTTATTCATAATTTTTTAATATAATTTAACATATTGATCTTTTCCTGTTTTATCATGTAGACTAATATACAAAAAATTGTCTTATTCGTATTAAGAAGTTGAAGAAAAAAAATAAGTGTGAATTCTAAAAATAGTGAGATGAAAAAAATAATTTATAAACTATAGTTATGAACATAACAATTGTAATAATAATAATAATAATAATAATAATCACATTAAAATATAATCCCTCCGTCCCATAAAACATGGGATTTTTTTTCTTTTTGAAGAGATTTAAGAAGAGTGTATTTTGGTATTGAATTTCCAAAAATGTCCTTTGATGTGATGGATAAAAGTAGGATTTAATGGGTAGACTATTAATAAAAAAGTATGATGTGATAAGTAGGGTATGAAAAAATAAGGGGTAAAAGTAACTTTTTAATAGAAATGATAAGTGTTTTATAAAACGGATGAAAAAAAAAGGAGAAAGGTTTTATGGGACGGAGAGAATATCATTTTTAGAGTAATTGATTGAGTAGAAAAAGTTTGAAAAAAATGAAAATAGTTGGAAGAAACTAGAAGGAACTCGAAGAAACTGGAAAAAACTGGAAAAAACTAAAAGTTACGAGTTCAAACCCTAAAGAACAGGCTCTTAGTCTTAGTACACTATAAAAAAAGACTTTCTTCAAACGGTTCTGTAGGGCTATTGGGGTAATTTTATTAATAGCATTGGCTTGTGATTAGTACAAGTGTTTCGTCTAACAAAGTCACGTACTTGCATAGAAAAGACCATAAACCATATACCGTATAGCACAATATAACTCCATTTTTATAGAGTTCTTAAAGGTGAAGTACAGTTCTTGTTCTAATGCAGCCCCGCCGCAGCCCGGCCTCCAATCTGCCCGAACCTTCTGCCCACTCCGTACACAATCGCCTTCTTCAAGAACCCGCCATCAAAGCTACAAGCAAGAACCAATAAAGCACCACAGACGACCAATTTTGAAATTCTTTCGGACGATGCAGTAGGAGGATTATAGGTGGAATGTTCTGCTTCCGTATTTGATGAAGAAGTGTGACCTTTCTTCTCGTGATGGGAATCAAATTCGCGGAGACTAAACTTTGTGCTAAGACGGGCCAAGAGAACATATCGTGAAAGAGGGGGATCAGATGCTCGGTGCCTGAGGTACTGGCGCAGGCCAGGGTCAATTCTTTTGACAGTTCCCCACATGCCATTCTCAACCCCAAACTTGGCAATTGCCCTTGGCATTCCCATATCCTCACAGTGGAAGAGTGTAACCTCGCTGGCGGTCAACCGCCCATCTCTTGCTGAATTAGCTGTTTCATGTCAAAGAAAGTAACCACAATTATATTGATGGTCTAACAAACACCCCATGGAAAAGAAACGAATAACATATGAAACAAAATAAATAAATTACCGGGTCGGATACGCCAACATGACAGGAACTCATCAACTAGCTTTGCATTTTCTCTTCTAGTGATATGAGAGCAAGGCACACCCTGAAAAATGGCATAATAATGTAACTATGTAAATAGAGAATCATAATACTCAATCTATCGATGATATCTTTCAAATTCAACACAAGACTCAGGTTGACACCCCAGTAGTAATGCGGCTAGATATACCTTGCATACGCAATAATAGGAATCGCTAGACTGCCAAATCCGACGTGCAATTGTGTAGTCTCTATAACTGGAAACATAGGGGAACTACGGCAAAGAAGAAAGAAATTAGTCAGAAATACGTTCTACCATCAATAATCCTAGGGAAGTAGAGAGGGCAGGAGAGGGATCATACTTTGCGAATCCAGTGAACTAGCATAGCTCCTGTCTTGGTACACTCTTCCAAGAGATCAGAACTGAAATGCATTGCATCCCACTTGGATCTGAACTCATCGTCCCAAAAGAAATCTCTAAGGATTTCGGGTGTAACATCCTCGTATAACGATATGGTTCTATACATCAAGTGACCCTCCTAGAGTAGAGGTAGGTGAAGCAAGTACCAAAAAGATATCAGAAATAGACGCACGATTAATAAAAACACATCAAAATCACAAATTCTGCTGGTCTAGAAAAAGAGATACTAACCTCACTGTTCCTACGGTGACCTATGAATTTTAAGTTAGCAGTGGACCGTTCCATCACCTTAATCCAACCAGGCCCATCAATCTCTTCTTCAAGCAATTGGTGCAACTGAAGAAAGTCTTTCTCAGTTAAAACGTAGGATTTCGCAATGCTTGGCTGCAATGCTCTGCATAAACAAAACAAAAAAATCCACTTAGAATTAGACATCGATTATCAAACTAATATAAACAACAACCAAGCCTTATTCCACTCGATGGGGCAGGCTACATGGATCAAACGACGTCATTGCCCTGTTATGTATCATATTTGCAGCGAGATCATTCACGCTTATATCACCCTTGACCACTTCATGCCATATTTTCTTAGGTCTACCCTTTTTTCTAGCCACATGTCTATTTTTCATTTGATCCACTCTTCTCACTGGATACTCTATTGGTCTTATTTCCACATGTCCAAACCACTTAAGACGGGCTTCCACCATCTTTTCAATAATAGGTGTCACTCCAACTTTTAGGGGGTGTTTGTTTTTTCTGCAGGAAAAGGTCTGCAGTCTGCGGACCACTACTGTAGACATCTGCAAGAGAAGTGGTGGACCGAAGGTCTGCGATATGCAAGAAGAAGACTGTTTGTTTTTTAATGTCTGTGGACTGCTATATAAATTAATGGTGGCGTACGGTGGTGGTGTATGGACGATTGTCGTGGTGGTGGAGGGTGGTGGTGAAGGGTGGTGGTGGACGTTGGCGGTGGTGGTGGTGGATGGTGGCGGTGGTGGTGGACAATGATGGTGATGGGCAGTGACGGTGATGGTGGACGGTGGAAGTGGTGGACG